CCTCTCTGATTAGTTTGAATAATTATCTTTAAAATTACAAAATCTAATTTAATGTAACATTTATATATAAAAACAAAGTGTAACATTTTTTTATTTGTATTTTGGCTTTTTATTTTTGCAGTTTGGAAATCATAAAATAAACAGAAGGTTGCTGTTTAACCTTCAGTTTTTACATGTTGAAACATCACTGAACAAGATGAATTCCCTGATTTATTTCTGCATAATCAATACTTGCRAAATATTTCATTGTGACTAAATTGTCTTCTTCAGCCATTAATGCATCAAAAGATCTTGGATGACAAATGTAAAGATTATGAAGCAAAACCTGGATTTAAACCAAACATTTAATTTTTATTTCTGCATAATTTAAAGTATAAAGAGCTACTTTTATACCATTTTTAGGGTTGCAACAAGAAGCTGAACAGTGTGCATGGAATTTATTTGGTTTTTGCCTATTTATGAAGGACGAGAGCAGAAATGAAACTTGAAATTTATCCTTTTGATATTTAGTTTTTGCAGGAAAATTCAAAAATAAAAAACAACACTATTTCTTMTCTATGCTATTCAAACACAGTGAGATCAATTCGGATTAACAAAAATTAAGCCACATTGAGCTTAACTTTTGTTTTTGTTTTTTAATTTTCTGCCCATAAAGTTGTTTGAAGTGTCTAAATAAATATTAAATCAAGTCTTCAGTGGTGCAGACCTTTCTTCCAAAGCCTCACCTGTTTAGTTCTGAGGATATTCAGAGCTGCAGCTTCGTCTCTTTTCTGCACCGAAAGGCCTCGCGCTGCTGCCCGTGTTTACTGCAACAAGCAGAATCCCTTCAAATTAACATCCTGGAGGACTCTGAGAAATTAAAACCACGTGTTTGCAAACATTCATCCGAATGAGACTTCATCCACAAGCTGCCCTCCATCCAACCTCAAAGAAAGACGTGCTTTTTTGATGAACCTCAGCGTAATTACAGCGCGCGACCTCTCTCTTGTTTGCTATTTAGTCACTCATGTCATTTACAAATTAGAAGCGCATTAATGTGGCTGCTGTACCCAAATTATGTGGGATGAGGTGAGGTCACTCTGCTGGAATATTCCGCATTTTTCTTGGCTGTTGGAGAGCTCGAACCTCTGTGCGTAAAGGATATGYGGACGTGCAAAATACGCACAGAAATGTAACAAATATGAGCTTATTTTACTTTAACTAATCTCTTTTGAGTTTTCTGAAGAGCTCCCATGTGTTTGTGACAGAGTTTCATTCAGAGCGCACCGGGTCCGCGCGGCCTGCTGCGCCATGACGCGCGGCGCGAGCCTGGCCCTGCTGGAGGCTGAGTGTTTTCTGACCATATTCAGCTGAACACGTGTTCCCTCCGCTTTTTGTCGTTCAGGGATCTACTTGTCTTTGATTGTTTTTATTGTTTTAAATCAGTGAAGAATCCATGAAGAGGGGCGAGGGGTCCTTAGAGCTCCCTTTCAGCCCGAGCGACCCACTGAGGCCCTGCAGTATTTAATCTGTTCCCATGAGTGAGGCAGACATCCTCACAGGTAGAATCAGGCGCTTCTTGTCCCTGTGAGGAAATATAGAATCAAAAATGGAGGATTTTCTGTTTGACTTTGAGCAGGATGGAAGCGCCGACTTTGGATTTTGGGGACAGACGGACCAGAACGTSCAGCTTCAGACCCAAATGGACTCTTTTTTAATGGACTGCACTGCGGCCAGCGGCCAGCTCTCCCCCTGGTCCTGCTTCAGCTGTCAGTCCGTGTTCCCGGACTCACAGCTGACCTTCACCGACCTCGACCTTCAGTCCCCAGGAGAGCATGACGCCTGCCCCGAGGRCGAAGAGGCCTCCCCGGCGGACGAGCCTCTGGAGGCGGCCAGGCGCAGGACGCGCAGGCTGCTGGCGCACCATCAACCGTACAAGGTGCAGCGGCACGCCGCCAACATCCGGGAGAGGAAGAGGATGCTGAGCATCAACTCGGCCTTCGAGGAGCTGCGCTGCCACGTGCCCACGTTTCCGTACGAGAAGCGGCTGTCGAAGATCGACACCCTGAGGCTGGCCATAGCTTACATCGCCCTGCTGAGAGAGGTCCTCGTGTCCGGCTGCGACCCGAAGTCCTACGTGGATGAGTTCATGAAGAGCGGCTGCAAAAACCAAAGCAGCGCCGTTTGGAACACCAGTGGTGAGTCAGTCACTCAGATAAACCAGTCAGTCACTCAGATAAACCAGTCAGTCACTCAGATAAACCAGTCAGTCACTCAGATAAACCAGTCAGTCAAAAAACAAATAAACCTCAGGTACAATTAAAGTCCATCACACAGCCCATCTGTCACTCAAATAAACCAGTCAGCCAAAAAACAGATAAACAAATAAACAACTTCTAGTTGCATAAACAGTTATAGGCTATACATTATTTTATCATAACATGATATCTGAATATATATTTAAGTGCAAAATAACATCTGGAAAAACCCATCAGACAGATTGCTTCTTTCTAATTTATGTAACAGTCCTATTTCCTTGAGCCTGCACCAAAAATATCAGTGGTTCCCAACCTTTTTACACTCTGAGCCTTTTTGTCACAGTACCCCATCAGCCAAACGTAATGAGTCTCCAAAATTATAATATACAACAACTAATTA